AAAAAAAAAAAAAACAAAACAAAACTTAAATTTGTGTCAGTATACAAAAATCCATACCAATATAAAATATTTGAGATTAATAGTTGCCTTTTAGTTTAAAGTTAGATTCAATAATATACACTTTTACACTGTTGTTCCTGTATCCCCCTTTTTTCTTTTCAGAATGAAATCCCTGAATCTAATCTCCTTTGCTTAGTTTCCTTCCTGACTATGACCAATTACAGCTTGCAACCAAACCCCTTAAACAATACTAAACATCCATAGTCCACTGAACAACCAAAAACCACTCACTACCTCTTGGGAATGTGGGTGTCATGTTCTTAAAATTAATTCCTGTTGTCTGAAGGCAACGGCATCTTTAGGGAACCCTGAGGAAATTAAGATAATGGTCAAGTCCTGAGAGAACTAGCTGTTGTCCAGTCCCAGTGTAATAGAAAGGGCAGGGCTTATCCGAAGTCCTGACTGGAGTAGTCTGTGAGGTGGACCATCTTAATTAGCCTCTTTGAAGATGTCCTGAGCAGTTTATGGTCCAAAGCTGGTCTTTGGGTCATTTTTATCAGCTTATCCAAGTGGATTCATCATTGTGGGACCCTACCATCTTAGAGACCTCAAAGGTCACTGTCAGGAATGGTCACGATTCCCTGCAGAAAACTTAAAATATTTCAAATGTCTTATGCAGCAGATCTCTGAGAAGTTAAAGGACCAAAATCTGTTAAAGTATATCCATGGTACACAAACTTTCCTATTTACCTGCTTCAGACTCAAGCCTGAAGTCATGTACAAGAAGCTAGACGAAGCTTATTTCTAGAATTAATTAGTACTCTATATGACCATTAATATCACAACAGAATGTTTATATATAGATATACAATAATCTTATAAATTATACCTTATAAAAGTTTTAAAAAGTCAAAACCAAAGGATTATGACATTAACGACGACAGAATAGTCCCTTAATTTTGGTTTTCTTCTGTCCCATACCAGGTGGCTCTTTTTACATGAGACAGACTTTGGATTCTTGTAAAGAAGAGAGCCATCCTCCAAATCCAAAGCCAGCCTTAATTTTTAAGGGAGTTGGTACTACAGAAATAACATTTGCATTATATGTCTGCAGAGTACATTAGAAACAAACATTTGGGGAGGTTTATAAAATTCTATCATGTTGGAAATGTACTATACTGTTAGGCCAGTTTACTTTTCTTCTTGGGATATTTTTCGCTTGATTATTTGTCCTTCCGATGTTTCATTTGTCCAGTGGTTTTTGTCTTTAGATTCCTTTGTAGAGGGTTTTGTGTAGCTCATACTGGATTTTAACTAGTGATATTGCTGATAATGACCTCGAACCCTGCTCCTGATGTTTTTATTCTCAGGTGCTGAGATTACGAGTATGCACTACCACACCCAGCTCTATCTTTGGGAGCTTTAGGTATAAAAATTGCCGAGCTGGGCGGTGGTGGCACATGCCTTTAATCCCAGCACTTGGGAGGCAGAGGCAGGCGTATCTCTGTGAGTTCAAGGCCAGCCTGGTCTACAAGAGCTAGTTCCAGGACAGGAACCAAAAGCTACGGAGAAACCCTGTCTCGAAAATCAAAAAAAAAAAAAAAAATGCATTAACTGAAACCTTTATTTTTACTGTATACTCTGCAATTGCTGTGCAAGTGTGAGGACCTGAGTTAGTACCATGTAGAAAGCTGGGTATTAAGTATGTGTGCCTGCAACCCTGGGTGGGATCAGAGATTAGGGATTGTATAATAGGAGGACGAGGAAGACATTGGGATGTGATGGCCATCCTGCTTGACTGAAAAAACTCTAGATTCAGTGAGAGACCCTGTCGGGACTAAGATAGTGACAGAAAATGATAACCCCTCTGTTCATTGCACGTAAATGTGTAAACATATGCATACATCACATATGCATAATTTTTAAAACTACTTAATAACTGATTTATGAATTCTAACATATTGTAAAGTAACTAGAATATTGGTATTTGTCTGACTCTTACCACTATGTGCCATGACTATAGCATTGTCTTTCTTACTGTAACTGTTTAAAGAAACAGCCAATATTGACGTGTTTAGTTTTGCTTCTTGTTTGGTCTTACTATGCAGCCCTGACTGGCCTAGAACTCTCTTTGAAGACTAGGCATGCCTGTGCCTTTCAAATTTTGGAATAAAAGGTGTGTGTCACCATGCCCAACTTACGTTGAATTCTAAGCCTTAACTGCTCATATTGGCCATTATGTAAAAATGCATGCATAATATCACAGACATATGTGATATAATAGATACATCAACTTTTTTTCTATTTTAGTCTTATAAAACTAAAAGAAATATTTGGAGATTTAGCTATTCAGTTTCCCTTTTTGAGCATTAATAGTTCTTTTAGTAGTCTTGACAGTAATTAAGAGTTCTATTTAGTTACTAAAGTTTGATCTGTGACTACCACTAAGGGGAGGATAATTTACATCAAACATGAAGGCTTATAGATCTCAGTTTTGTAGTCATAGGTTGTCTCTAAAAATGTATTGACATCTAGTGACAAACTATTACTCTTGTACTTGGATAGTAGGTACAAACTTTTGGAATCAAAATTAGAATCCACTCTTAAGAAGTCCCTTGAAATAAAAGAAGAAAAAATTGCTGCTTTGGAAGCTCGGTTGGAAGAGTCTACAAATTACAATCAACAGTTGCGCCAAGAACTTAAAACAGTAAGGTTTTTTTTTTCCAAAATAACTTTATAAGTGCTTGAACAGAAAAACATAAAAAATAAAAACTCAGCTGTATTTATGTTAGTATTTCATTCTGTTTCGTATATTTGGGAGTATACTTAAACATATCTTTATTTGTTTGAAGATGCTACAATTTACTCAGTGTTTTCAAGTATGTAGTAGTCCCTCTTAGAGGTGAGGACATAAAGGATTGTAGAAATGGGATGGACAAAAAGCAGGCTTATTTTGTTTCAGAAACTCAGTTTTTGAGATACTGATACCTTTCCCTGGTGCATTTTTCCTATTGAGCCTCCAGGTAGATTTTAATAAAGATACAGCTGTGAAGATGCAGAGGACAAACATAGATAGTTTGTGTAGGAAAACAGCTGGTCTGCTCACAAATAAGATGCTATCTAGGTCTGCTTTGTGAGATTTGGAATTATTGAGTGAAGTTAAGCACTGTGTTCACTAGGTGAGTAACTTGAAGTGTAAAGGGCTCACCTATGTGAAGGGGAACGAGAAGAGTTCCATTCTGTGTCACTCTTCCCTTTTTAGCCTCTGCATTGCTCCAGACATTGGCTTTCTCTTAATTTTCCATTTTCTCTAGACAGGATCTCTTGTAGCATAGGTTGTCCTTAAATTTATCCGGTAGCCAATGATAGCCTTGAACTGATCATCCTATGTCTTTCCTAAGCACAAGGGTTATAGAAGTTCCACATGACAAACAGATGGAGATGAGATTACTGTAGGCCACATTTTAGACTGTTCTATTCACAATAGCCCTAGGAAGTACAAATAGATGGTTAGGCAGTGCTACGGGTCTCTCCTTATAATTATGTGAGATTCTTTAATTTTTTTTTAATTTATTTGTATTTACAGACTCTCTCTCTCTCTCTCTCTCTCTCACACACACACACACACACACACACACACACGCAGGGGTAGGAGCACACCACAGCATGCCTGTTGCCTATGGAGATAAAGGACAACTGGTGGGAGGTCTCTCCTTTCTACCATGTGGGTCCTGGGGATCAAACTCGGTTGTCAGGTTTGGCAGCAAACATCTTGAATGATCTGTCTTGCTGGTCCTTGAGATGTATTTGTACCAGATTATGGTTCAAGCAAAACAGAAGATTTACACTGGAGTAGGAGAGCACTACCCTGGTTTGGGACTTGATGCTTTATAGCAGTCATTAAGCCTTACAACTCCAAAAGCATAAATCTAAAATCTTCCAAAATGTGCGTCCTGATTATAAGAGTTGCTGCCTGTAGAGAAATCCAGTAATTCTTGCTTCTATTAGGTAACTAGTTTTCCTATTCCAGATAGTCTACCAATCATGGGTCTCCCCCATAAGCATTATTGCCTAATAATCAAATATTCTAGTTTTATTATGCTTCTAGAGCAGCTGTTTTCAACCCCTGTGTTACAATCCCTTTGGAAGCTACATATCATATTTTATATTATAATTTGTAACAGCAGAATTACAGTTATGAAGTAGCAATGAAATAATTTTATTGTTGGGGTCACCACAACATTAAGAACTGCATTGAAGTATTGATGCATTATGAAGGTCAAGAGCCACTGTTCTAGAGGAACAGTTAACCAAATTAGGGTTTCTTTGGCAGAAAGGGAAGACTTTTTGTTCACCGTATACCCACAGTATCTTTTCTAGTATTTGTTGCTGATTTTGCCATCATGGAACCTACTACACTGGTTCATCGTTGTGCTTTGTTAGCATAAATAATTATTAATCAGCTTTAGGTCCTGAATTTTGTACTCTATTAAACAATATTAGTAGGTCACAAATAATGATAACTTCATGAAGCTACTCAGCAAGAAAATAAGTAGGTTTGTACATGAGTTAGTTTTTGTGTTTTAAGCCTAAATATCAGAGATACCAAATTCCATCTTTATCTTTAACTTTGGCCATTTTTCATAATGCTATAAACTGACTTATTCCTGTATACATGAACTCAAATGGAATTGTACCTTCCTAAGCTTTCAATACTGTACATGAAGAGTTGTATTACTTGAAAATAGACCCTGAAATTTAGACATAAACAATGTAAACTAAGGTATAGAAATATAAAAAGGAATTTAAAAAATCCAAAGGAAAACAGAACAAAACAGAAAACAAAGTACAGATTGGACAAATAGAAAATAAAAAGTGAAAGGGAAGTTTGTAACCAAATCATATTATATTTACTGTAAAAAGGTCTAAACATTTCTGTTCTAAAGCAGAGATGATTACACTCAATGGAAAAGTAAAACCTAATGAAATGCCACCTACAAGAAATTTTGATGAAAAATAATATACCATTGTAACACCCATCAAAAGAAAGCTATTATGTATAAAGATTAGTTTTATAGTAATGATTTATCTCATCTAAAAATTATAAAATGATCATTTTAGCTTCATGACACAGCAAGATTAAATGTTCTCATGTCTAACAACAGTTTCAAACTATGGCGATATTGATAGAACTACATGGAGAATGACCTGTCTGCAACTCTAGTTAAAGGATTTAATACCAATCTTACATATAAAAGGAACTTTATTAAATAAATAAGGGTGTTTTATAGATGACCTACACCGAATATCATCCTTAATGATAAAAGACTATTACTTTAAGGGGAAAAGCAAAGCTGTTCCTCTCAGTATTTCTATTAAACACTGTGTTGTTGGTCTTAATGTTTTAGGATAAGGAAAAGAAATGCTGATTTTTTTTTGGTAAGATTTTGTTTTTGTGTATATTTGTGTGAATGTATGTGTGGGTGCCTGTGGAGGCCAGAAGAGGGTGTTGGATCCCCTGAATCTGTACTTAAAGTTGGCTGTGAATTACCTGATATGGCTGGAGCCAAACTTGTATGCTTTGGAAGAGCAGTAAGCTCTCTTAACCACTAAACCATTTCTTTAGCCCCAGAAATACAAATTTGAAAGGATGAAATATAGATAATTTTTTGACTTCTGACATGATTATTTTGGCAAGAAATTCTAAAGAATTTATAGAAAATTATATGAAGTGTGTTTCATCAAGTGTCATAGGTTAAAGACTAGTATATAAAACTCTTAACCATATTTGTATATATTAGCAGTTAGTAATTAGAGAATAAAATTTAAAAGAAAAATACCACTTACAGTACCATAAAATACCATGAAGTACTTTAAAGAACTCTGCATTAATAAAAGATAAAGAATACCTTAGTAAATGGAAGGGAGCCCCATATCATAAGATGTTCTATGTAATTAATAGGACATATCTTAGGCTTGGATATAGCTCAGTGGTTCAGCACCCGTGAAGCTTGCCCAAAGGCTAGATTCATTCCGCAGTACCAGAAAAAGTAAACAAGCAGATCACATGTGAATCTGTTAACTCAGCATAATACTGAACATACCTTAAATTAGATCAGTAGATAGATTAATTAGCTAATTGCTAAATTTTGGGTAGAATATAGCCATTTTTTAAAGATTTATTATGGTATACAGTGTGAGAGCCATCATGTGGTTCCTGGGAATTGAACTCAGGACCTCCTGGAGAACAATCAGTGCTCTTAACCTCTAAACCATCCCTCCAGCCTGAATATAGCTATTTTAAAAATATTAATTTTGCTATTCCATGAACAAGGGAGAACTTTTCCATCTGCTAGAATCCTTATCTCTTCTGTGTTTTAAAGGTTTCTTTGTAAAGCCTCTTAAAGATATTCTGTCTTTTTTTTAGTTTTTGTAAATGGGGATGCTTTCCTAATTCCTGTGTCAGCATATTCACTCTCAGTATATAGAAGAACTACTGGTTTCTGGATGATGATTTTGTACATGGCTATTTTAATAAAAATATGTATCAATCAGATCTAAGTGTTTTTGATAAAACCCCTAAGGTCTTTTCCATATAGGATCATGTTGCCAAAAAGTATGGATAGTTTGACTTCTTTTCTGTTTACTCTTTTTTTATTCCTTTGTCTTGCCTTACTGGTATAGCTAAATGAATAACAGTGGAGAAGATAGACATTCTTGCTTCCTTCCATATTTTAAAGGAAACAGTTTCAGTTTTGCCCTGGTTAGTATAATGTTGGCTATAGGTTTGTTGAATATAACATTTATTATGTTGAGGTATGTGTATATATATTATATTTATTTATATATATTTCTTCAGGGGTTTTTCATGAAGAGATGTTAAACTTTATGAGAAATTATTTCTGCACCTGTTGAGGGGATGCAATTTGTGTCCCAGAGGCTATCTAGGTGCTGCATTACTTGACCTATTTATTTGATGTTTATATGCCAGACTGTTCATACATCCCTGGATGAAACCAGCTTGATCATGTTATCTGATTTTTTAAAATTATTTGTATGTATTGTGTGTCTGTGTATGTCTGTGTGTCTCTAGTATGATGCTTTAAGTTACAGGCACCTATGGAGACCAGAAGAGAGGATGTTGAAACCTTTGGAACTGGAGTTAGAAGCATTTAGTTTTTAGAAATCCAACGTGGGTGATGGGAAATTAACTCAGGTCCTGTGAAAGAGCAGCAAGCTACTCTCAAGCAAGCCATCTCTCCAGCTCCTTGTCTAATGTTCTTCAAGCGAGAGCAGTTGAGGAATACAATTCTGGTCTCCAAAAGCATGTGAACATATGTGTACACAAGCAAACATCTATACCCATATACACAAAAAATTAATTAAAAACTGGAATTAACACAGTGACCCTGAGTTGATAATTGAATAAAGAAAGTTTGGCATACCCATATAGTAAAAAACAATACAATAGTACAAAAGGGGAAAAATTATTGATTCATTTAATAAATTCATTAGTAAAGCTTAAAATATGATCAGAAAAATATACATTAAAAGATTACATATTTTGTAATTACATTTATATGAAGTTTTAGAGCATGCAAACCTAAATTTGGTGGGAAAAAAGCAAAGCAATATTGCTTTGTGAGTAGTAATCCTTCCAGAGTGATTGAAATCCTCTTCTCATGTTGTTAACTTCCATGGCATATATTATTCTAAGAAATAGACTGCATATCTCTTATAATCAGTACATTAGAAACTATAGATTATACCTCAGTGCTGAAATCACTGAAAATGCGATTTTACAATTTAATTTATAATACTATTTTTAATTGCTTTAAACTTTAATGAACTTTAAATTTTAAAGTGACTCTGCATTGCTTTGTTGTATACTATTCTGACTCGAACTTTATTTCCTATGTGAATATAAGGATTTTGACGAATGATATATAAGCTAAAAGAACACGTGAACAGACTATAACTCAGGAACCTTGAATTATGTTTCTAGCTCTCCTATTTTTGGTTGTCATTTCCCCCTCTTGTTATCAAATACAATTGAATTCTACTTGCAAAACAAAAACAGTACATACCTGACATAACATTTTCTTGTTACATCAGCTCTCCTTAATATTGCATTTGACCACAGTCTTTATAAGCCTAGGAAAAAGACTGTATGGGAAAATAGGAGTATCCAAGATCACTGACCAAACTTTACATTCCATTCCATCTTGGCTTTTTTTCTTATCATTTTCTAACTCACTAGTAATGCTAGTTTACTGCTAAATTAAAGACTTCCTTAAGTTTTGTACAACATGAACTATTTTAATCATTTCTACCCTTAATATAAACTATGGTGATAATTTTTAATGTACTGTAAATATCTAAAATAAACTAGTAAGTCAAGATAAGTATAATAGTAAATCTGAATTAAAGAGGGACTAAGGAGATAGCTCAGCAGTTCAGAGTATACACTGTTCTTCCAGAGGATCTGAGTTTGATTCCCAGCACCCGCAATAAGTGGACCACAGCCACCTGTAACTTCAACTTCAGGGGATCTGAAGCCTCTGGCCTTTGAGGGTTCCTATACTCAAATGCACAGGTGAACACACATACACACACATTTAAAAATAACATATTTAGGGGCTAAGGAGATGGCTCAACAATAAAGAGCACTGACTACTCTTCCAGAGATTCTGGGTTTGATTCCCAGCATCCACATAGCAACTCACAACTGTTCCATAACTCCAGTTCCAGAGGGTCTTCTTCTGCCCTTGGCAGGAACTACATGCACATGGTGTACATACCTTCATGAGGCAAACATTCACACACAGAATTTGTTTTTAATCTTAAAAATAAATTTTAAAAATATATAATTACAGAGAGGTGTTGAATTTGGCAATTTTGATCATTAAAGTGATCAGGATTTTTCATGTTAGTAGTGGTTCAAGCCTATGTATTACTCAGTGTTTTCTGGGGTTATTGCAACCTAAGTCAGTTTGAGGTCTAGTGTGGTGGCTGACATCTGTAGATTTAGGACTTGTGGTAGAAAATAGGATCAGGAGTTCAAGACCAGCCTGGGGCTACATAAGACCTGTCTCAAAACAACAAACAAAACAGTCAACTCAAAACTAAAAGCTTGCTTCTGAAGATACATCCTTGAATTAGTTATTACAAGATAAATTACATGATGATGTGTATGGATCAAAAGCTAAATGAATGTTACTTTATTAATATAATTAGCCTATATTAATTAAGTCTAGGTAATATATTATCCTTAGGAAATTAGATGCCCAAAGATACTCCCCTAACTAATTTAGGAATCTTTTAAAGTCAGTGTTAACAAGTAGCAAATATTTATTTGCTTTTCACATAGGGATCTCTAAATTGGTTAGCAGTTGCTGTAAAAGTAATTTTTAATATTAGGTAGCATATCAGTGTTTGGTTAATCTGTTATTGAGGGCCATTTTCTTCATTGTTGTTGTTTATTAGCTTTTATTTTTTTATCCTGGATTGTCCTTTCCTAGTAAGCATGAATTGTGCATATGAATGTTGTCTGGTGTAATGTTTGATGTGTGCATGTAACCCAAGAATGTGTTGACATTAGCACTCCCTAGGAAGGCTGCTGAGGCCCATTCTCATTACCAGTAGGAGCACTCAGAGGAACCAACTATCTTGTCCTTCTTCTAGAATAATGTACATTACAGTAGTTTTATGACATGGGGTCTCCTTTTATGGTTTAGTGTGTGTGTGTGTGTGTGTGTGTGTGTGTGTGTGTGTGTGTGTGTGTGTTTGGGGGGGGGTGAGAGTTATGGAACTGCCCAAACTTCGGTTTCTTAACCACTGAACTGCCTCTCCAGCCCCCAAACTTGCATTTCAAAAAGCTTTTGATCATAGTAATGGTAATCACACATATATCATATTTTTAGATAAAGTATCTGTAATATTCACCAAACCAACACAGACCCAAAGTAATTGAGAAATATAAAAATATTGATTTTTTTCCCATTAAAATATTTTAAATAATTTTAGGTGAAAAAAAATTATGAAGCTCTCAAACAGAGACAAGATGAGGAAACGATGGTACAGAGCTCCCTGCCTGTCTCTGGGGAAGATAACAAGTGGGAGCGAGAAAGTCAAGAAACCACCAGAGAGCTCCTGAAAGTTAAAGACAGGTTAATTGAAGTAGAAAGAAATGTAAGTATTTAAAAACTCTTATTAGGGACAAAATCCTTCTGAAATAATGAATTGTTGAATATATTTATCTCTCATAAATTTATTTTGTACTTTCTTGTCTAGTTTATCATATAAAAAGTATGCTTTGCTCCTTACCCTCTTGTAAGTCACTCCCAAGTGTAATCAATGTTCCATCCATCATGTCTGCAAAACCAATATCATATAGACAGTGCTATCAAGTTCTGCCAGGTAAAATGTAGGATTGTGTGCAGTAGCCTCTGTATGTCTTTCAGGCTGACTTGGTTGTTTTCTCCCAGGGAACTCCTTCAGCAGTACAAAATCAACACTGATTTTTTTATAGTGGAGTCTGGTGGCTGGAGTCTTGTACTCCATCCACCTTTGAAGTCCCAGTGAAGAGCAGGAGGCTTCTCTTTAATAATTACAACTACTGTCTCGGAACCTAGCTTGCCTATAACTTTATGCCCTCTCCTTCTGTTAGTCAATTTTGTATCTTTTTGCTTTGTTTTTTTTTTTTTTTCTTTTTTCTTTCTGGTTGGTTGTGGAAGGAATAAAAACAGCAAACAGTAACTGTAAGCATTACAGCTCAGGTGGAAATGTATCCACGCCAGGAGTCAAAGAATACCACAAAGTCACACCACACACAAACCTCACACAAGAGAGTGGAAGGGAAACAAACAGGAGAGTGGCCGTCTCTACTCGGGCTAGAAACAGCAGAGAACTGAACAGAATAAGGCCTTATACAGAGTTTCTTGGGAAGGGGGTGGAGCTTTCCAGGGTGGAGATTAGGGGATTTCATATCCAGTGATTGGGTTTTTTACTCTGTGGAGTGGGAGCAGGGTCCAGAAGTTAGGATATTCTGTGGGTGAAACCTAGCAGTTAGAGGTCCTCAGGTAAGGGGCCTGGCCACTTGAGGGGCTTACAGTTACCATGACACGGTATGAATTCTATCCTGTTTTTGAGATTTCCTCCACCAAAACAATTCATCCATGACTTGGAGGACTAAAACCATTTGTTTGCCAGAATGTAATGTGAATGGCCTCTATCTCAGTTCCCTTCGTTTCCCACTGTCTGTGTTTCTCTGCTCTCCAGAATCACACTAGATTGGCCCTTGCTTATTCGTGTAGTGCTTTTCTAGCCCAAAATTTCAAACTCTTCCCTATTGCTCCTGGATTCTACTTCCAAAGGCCTGAGGAGTGTGTGGCCAGGTTATCACAACAACAGGCCCACTTTGTAACAATACTCTCCAGTAGTTACAAAGATACCTGTGAGAAGCAACTTGAAGGGTCACAGTTCAAGGATAGAGTCCATCAAGGCAGGGAAATCGTGGCAGCAGGAGCCTGAGGCCCTGCTCATACTGCATCTGCAATCAGGAAGTAGAGACACTATTATTACTCAGCTCACCTTTGTACTCCAGTCCCTGTGATGGTGCTGCGTCCGTTAACCCCATTCCCTCATAGACATTGTTGACATTCATTTTTAACCATCACATCATACATGACTGACTTGGCTACATGGTGAGTTCAAACCAGCCTGGACTATATGATACTCACATCAAAACAGTGTGTGTGTGTGTGTGTGTGTGTGTGTGTGTGTGTGTGTGTGTGTGTGTGAACAAGACAGTATTCCATGTTTTTTCATCCATGATTTTTTCATCCTTTCAACAAGTTAAAAAGAGAACAGTATAATTACCTACCTCAGCTTCTGCGGGTGTTTGCTTGTTGCTGTTTCTGTTGTTGTTTGAGACAGGTTCTCCATACTTCGCTCAGACTGTCTTCCAGTTGCTGGTGTTTCAGGCTATTATTAGAGCCACATCCACCTTGACTTCTCAGTTTGATTTTATGGGGTCAAAGCACAACCTCTGTTTTGTACAGTGAAATGTTGTTTATATAATATAAAAGTGAAGTGTTCTTTAGAAGTCTTCTATTAAAGATACAACAGCTATTGTGATTCTTTGGATCATTTCTCTGTCTAGTCAGTACTACATAGCCTAATTAGTTTTTTTTATATATTAAAGTTTTATTTATGTTATATGGTAGATTCTTTGGTTATGCTTTTTAGTACAAATTTAGATTTTATGGAATGTAATTTATCTTAAATGTATAATATCTATGCCTAATATTTTAATGTCTGTGACCAATATAGTAATTCACTTGTTTAACTGTAAGAAGAAATATGGTCATATGTACTGAAAAAATTGAAAATGATAAAAATTTTTGGATATACTTCAGAAGTCTTTAGAGATGAAATATAGTTTTAGTGAGAGTTTCATATTATGGATAAAGGAAAACAAAACATAATACCAGTTAGGTCTATTATGAACTGCATTTTTTACCCAGGATCACCACTTACCCATGATATAGTCTAGTCACGTATTCTACCGCTAACCTATACCTTCAGCACCGAAAGAAAATACCTTAGGACATCAAAAAGCAGAAAGAACACAGGCACAATAGTATTTTAAGGTTGTGGCAGTATTGTGTCATTATGGATTAAATATTTAACTTGTGATTGAAGAGGAAGGTTTTTCTTTTTTTAAGATTGTTCAAGCTCGTTTTTTAAAATACTGTTACCTAGTAAAGAAAAATGTCCCATGTTTATTTTTAATAAGTGTGGTATCTTTTTCTTGTTTTAAGAATGCTACACTGCAAGCAGAGAAGCAAGCGCTGAAAACTCAACTGAAGCAGCTTGAAACACAGAACAATAATTTGCAGGCCCAGATTCTTGCACTTCAGAGGCAGACAGTGTCATTACAGGAGCAGAATACCACTCTTCAAACACAGAATGCCAAACTTCAGGTTGTACTAAACACTTAAATTATGCAATATTATAGAAAGGGAACCTAGACATAGAAACATTGTTCCTTAGTGAATTTAAGACTTGAAGATAGATGGAAATATTTTGTTTGCTTCTATGCCAGACTCCTTAATGTGAATGTTTTTTAAATGTCAACGTTTATATAAATTACTAAATTCACCCACAGTATAAGTGAAAATGATCTTACTTATATTTAGTTTAGAATCTTTCTATCCTTTCAACAAGGTGATTCTAATTAGTTGGTACAAATCCCTTATTTCAGAGTATGATTGCAACATAGTATTCTTTATTTCATTCTTAAAACATTCTTAGTTTAGTTATTGAAATGCACACAGCATAGCAATTTTGTCTTTAGATTTTTTTGTCTAAAGGATATATTTGATGTAACCAAAAGGATCCATCTTCAATTTAACAATGCCAGTGCCAGTTCACACAGAACAGTCCAGGAGGGAGGAAAAGAAACTGGTTCCTTCTTTAAATCTAAATGTTCTCTCAGTGATGAAGTAAACGCTAATTTAGACTTCTCAGAGACTTTCCAAAAACAGTTTTCAAAAGCTCCAAAATTAAACAGGTAGCCTTAATTCTTTGAGAGGCTACAATCCAAATTACTCAAAATAGGAATGTCTGCAGTGATTTAATTAGATAGAACTTATTTAAGTTAACACTGTAACTTTTTGTTAAAAGGAGTAACAAGTGGGTTGAGGAAATAGCTAAGTCAGGCAGTAAAGCACTTCCAAGCAGGAGGACCTGAGTTCAGTCAGGTCACAGAAAAGCCAGTCATGTTGGTAAATGCTTGCAATTCCAGCACTGAGGAGGCACAGACAGGTGATCCCTGTAGCTCACTTACTAGCCAGCCTTGCCTAACAGTAAGTTCTGGGCTAGGAAGAGATCCTGCCCTTTAAAAATAATAATAATAATAATAATAAATAATAATAATAATAATAGCAAGATGGCTCAACAGACAGAGCTCAGGCCCTGCAGTCTGCACAGGAGACGCGTGGAGCTCACTCTACAAGCTGTCCTGTCACTATCACATGCATGCCACCACATACATAAACTTCTTTTGTTCTCTCTACTGCTTGCTCTCTTAGTCATTTGCTCCCCCAGAGATCTGTCTGTCTCTTCCTTCTAAATGCTGGGATTAAAGGCATGTACCACCATGCTTTTTCCTTATACTGTTAATAATATACACATTCTTACAGGTTGAAAATTCCACCCTTAATTCACAAAGTACTTCACTTATGAACCAGAATGCACAGCTTCTCATCCAACAGTCTTCCTTAGAAAATGAAAACGAATCTATAATCAAAGAACGAGAAGACTTGAAATCTCTTTATGATTCTCTGATAAAAGATCACGAAAAGCTGGAACTTCTTCATGAGCGACAGGCTTCAGATTATGAGTCTCTCATCTCTAAACATGGAACCTTAAAGTCTGCCCACAAGAATCTTGAGGTGGAACATAAAGACCTTGAAGACCGGTAACTTATATTTTATTGTGTTACTTTAAAACAAATTTTCTCTGGGTAGTATAATAAATTTTATACATTAGACCCATCTAAGATAATTTTTGAAGGGAATTTATATAAATTTATATGTCTTTTATGTGATGCTTGTTAAATTTATCATTTCCTTTTCTAATATATTTTCTTTGTTAGAACTATTTAATGCTAAATACCTAACTTTCCCTCCCCAGTTACAATCAGTTATTAAAACAGAAAGGACAATTGGAAGATTTGGAAAAAATGATCAAAATGGAACAAGAAAAAATGCTGCTTGAAAGCAAAAACCATGAGATGGTAGCTGCAGAGTACAAGAAACTTTGTGGTGAAAATGATAGGTAATGATATATGTCTTCTCTCTAGAGAGAAAGTGTATGTGTGTGTGTGTGTGTGTGTGCGTGTGTGTGTGTTTATAATAGCATCCACAATTTTGACTTACCATGGAATTTTTATCATCTCAGCGGTGTACCTGTTTGTATGAATGTTTTTGTGTGTGTTCTGGTGCACATGTATACAACTCAACTTTATAATTGTCTTGCGCTTTTCCTTTCGTTTTAAAAGGTCCTAACTCACTAGAACCATCTTCATCTTGATACTCTGAAATTCTGAATTTAGTTTTCTATAGATGTTACAGCTAAATATTCTGTTGTGAAGATATTGGACTTACGTAACCACAGTACAAAGTTAAAATAGACTGTAATAGAGGATGCTGTATGGATAGTACAAGCACTTAAGACCATATTGTGACAAGTTATATAATAGAAAGGTGGAGTTATTTTATTATATATTAAACTTCAGAGAAGTATAAAGGTCTCATCTTGTAGCTAACTATTGCTGGTATTTTAAGAAGTAGCTGGAATCATGGACTTCAGTTGGGCTTTCCAAGCATCAAATTGTACATTTCTGTGGCATCTCCAGAACAACTTGGCTAAAATGAAAAAGAAATCTTGTATTATGAGTTTGATCAAAATAATGTCCCAGGCTTGGAATGAAGTAAAGTATTTTCTGTGTCTCAGGTCTGTTCTTGCCCAGCATTTATTTATTAATGTCTGTGTTCTATGAAAATAAAAGGCTTTATTAAGTAAAACATGAAAGAGCTATCACAGACACACACAAACACACATACACTGATGATTCTAAATATCCTGTGTAATCACAGATAATGCCACAGAAAGTTTCTTTCTTAGACTCTGTTGTTTTGACCTCTGCTGTTTACTGGATTTCATTTGGCACTGTTGTTTTAAAGGAAGATATAAAAAATTCAGAACTACTTTAGCACTTGTTTTTAGGAGGTTTTTGGTTTGGCTGTGTGTCATTATATATGTGTTTACATGTTTGTGTGGGAGCATGGAAGTAAGAGGTTGGCATCAAATATCTTTAACTGCACTTCACCATTTTTTTCCATTTTCATGTGTATGTGTGTGGTGTGCATGTTGTATATACATATTTGCATGAGTCGGACACGTGGGAGTGTGTGTCGAAGTACAAGGTCGATGGTGAAAATTATTCTTTAATACTCTTTCTCTTAATTCATTTTCACTAAGATCTCTCAAATCAAACTCAGAGCTCACAGATGTAGCTAGTCTGACTAGTATGTTTGCCTTGGGGATCTCCTGTGTCCAACTTCCCAGAACAAAATTACACTGGGCCACCAGGGCCACTTCACACTTAGGTTTGCTCTGGGGATTACAACAGGTCCTCAGGCTTGCATTGCAAGCCATTTAGCCACTCAGCCATCTTCTTAGCCCATTTTCTTTATTTATTTTAAACTTTAAAATCTTATTTTCTGTGTATTAATGTTTTGCTCACATGCATGTCTGTGCACTATGTGCATGCCTAGTACCCTTGGAGGTCAGAAGAGGATGTTAGATCACCTGAAAATGGGGCGGTAGGCCTCTTTAAGCAGCCACGTGGGTGCTGAGAATCGAACCAGGAACAACGTAGGAAGAGCAAGGACTATTAACTGCTGAGCTGTCCTTCCAGAATGCCACCTTATGTTTTTGAGAGAAGTTCTTTAACTGAACCTAGAGCTCTTCGATTGCCTCTCTTTAATGACAGCCATCTAATTCATTTTAGAATTTGTGATAAATTAGAAGACTTCCTACACTGTCTCTCTCTGCTACCTATTCCCTGTGAAGTATCAGTGGAAAATTTTTATTGTCATAAGTATTGATATATACCAGGTAGCTATATGGGTGGTAATGCTTTTGTTCATGGATTTTACCTATTTATAATACATTTACCAGATGTATAAAGAGTTTGCCATTTTATCATCATTTCATGATTTTTTAACAAATATTTTATAGCTTAGATTTTTGTAAGCTGACTTGAATTCTTTGATGAATGAATTGAGTGAACTATTAGGTATTCTGAACAAAGACCACCTAGGCAAGATTGTGATTTGTTCACTGTGCCCCTTTTGTGGATTCCTGATCTTAATGATACAAGATAAATTTTGCATGTTACTAAAAAAATTAAATCTCACAGTAGTGATGCCGCTGCCAATGTAGTAAGTTAGATCAGGCCAAATTAGTAAGACCAGAGCAAAGCAACTCCTGGGTGACCCTTGGGAGGGCAGGGGAGGAATCACATGGCAAATACAGCTAGTAGGCCTGATACAGCCTGTAGGCATGGTGTTGAGCAGCCCCAGGGAGGAGATGAACTTTTGATAGACTTTCTGAGGGGCAGGGTTTGAAATGGGAGGAGTGAGACCAGGGTGTGGAATGGGGCCCCCAACATGGAGCTCTCCAACATTCCAGCCTTTTGGGGTATATATGGACAGAGGTAGGGCTTCCACCTTAACAGTTCCAACTATTTCTCCGGACCAAATCCAGCTATCTACCTGTGTCATACATAACAGCCCCAAACCTAAAAAAGTTAAATGTTTTTGAAGAGTTAGTGGGATGGGGGAAAGTAGAATGCTACAGGGAATGCGTATGGCCGACTGTGTCCTATGTACTTACTTTCTCGTTAAAAAAATTATCAGTCTCTATCCTTAGAGGTCTGTAATACTTTGTTTTGAAGGTAGATTGTGAGGAGGAAGATAAATAGCTATAGCTTGATTTTTTACAAAGTGATAAGTGGGGATTACATAAAAATTATTTGCCACAATTGCAGAAAGCTACATATCTTTAATTTGTTTGCTGCCTGTATTTCTCACTTTTCAACCAGCATATTGGTTTAGTATTTAATACTGGATTGATTTGCTTAACCTGATCTTTGTTCATGTTTAATTTAGAGTCTGAAATTTCCATGAAATCATAGCCAGAGTGGTCATTTTTTTTCATAAAATCTAATTTTTGAAGAAAAAATTATTACTGATCAATTAGTAACTAGCAAAATAATTTTTATATTTTCTAAACATGTCTGAATGATTTTAACAGCATGTTCATATTGTGAAAAGTATTGAAATATTTTTGATGATTTTTAATTATAGGTTAAATCATACATATAGTCAACTTTTAAAAGAGACTGAAATTTTACAAACTGACCATAAAAATGTGAAAAGTCTTCTAAATAATTCTAAATTGGAACAAACAAGATTAGAAGCTGAATTTTCAAAGCTAAAGGAGCAATATCAGCAGCTGGATATCACATCTACCAAGCTAAATAACCAGTGTGAGGTGAGCACCAACAGATTTACACATTGTTTCTCCTTGTAGGTGTCAAGTCGTGCCTAAAAAGTAATGAGTCATATTGCAATGACGGTCTTGGTATACACAAGTAATTAAGAAAAACTATTTATTTCATACCTTTTTATTAATTGTATAAACTTAAAATGTCCAGATGCTTTGAAGTGTGTCACATTGTGCGCTTGTTTATTAAAAAATTTTTTGTGGGGGTGTGGTGATGCGTGCCTTTAATCACAGCACTCAGGAGGCAGAGGCAGGTGCATCTTAGTGAGTTCGGGGCTAGCCTGGTCTACAAAGTGAGTTTCACGATAGCCGGAGCTGCTACACAGAGAACCCTGTCTTGAAAAACAAAAAAAAAAGAAAAAGAAAAATGATTTTGTACATGTAGCATGAAATCATAAACCAATAGGATAAAAAATTAGTTTGTAATCATGTACACTTTAATACCCAACATAGCTCAGAAAATTCAAAGCATTCATTCTGCCTGTGATTTCATTATAAAAATATTTTTATAGTTGGATTCTACTAGAATGGTAGAGTGAGAAACATGGTACTAAATCAAGTCCTTAATAAACAGCAAAACCATTGCATAAAGCTGGGGTGGGAGAGTCCCATTTTAGGACTCCAGAACTCAAAGAGTGGCCTACAGAAAATCAAGGTACACATCTGTTTAGTAGCATGCAGCACTTGTATATGTGGCTTCTCTGCTCTGTTCTTCTCTTCCCCTTCCCTGGTTCATGCTGACTTGATTTGGAGCAAAGTCATTGCAGTAGGGTAGAGAAAGAAAGGAGAAGTTCAGGTTTTCTTTTAGCTTTTTATTATTTTATGTATATGAGAATTTTGCCTTATGTATGTATAGTGCCTGAAAAGGCCAAGAGACTAAAATTTCCAGGAATTAGAATTTTAGATAGTTGTGAGCTACCAACTAGGATCTGGGACTCAAACCTGGACCCTCTGGAAGAGCAGCCAGTGGTTGTCACCGTGGAGCCATCTCTAGCCCCATTTTTCTACAAATAATACATAACATTATTTAGCAAACATTTAAATAAACCATGCATTGTACAAAGTTGATAGTTGCCTCATGGAGGTGGTGGTTTACATGTACTTATAATAAATAATCATTCTTCCTGGTCTTCTGTACCACCTGAGAAGTTTCAAATGTTGGCTTTCTTTTTCCCTTTGAGCAGGGGTGGGTAGTGGTTATGAGGGATTGTTTACTGTTAGTTCTGAGAGAACACAGAATATATTACAAATCAGTAGCATTTCTGCTAGGAATACTGACTTGATTTGGAAAAGAGTAGAGAAAGCCCCTGTCTCTGAGAGTCATCAAAATTAACCTTTAGATAGCCTGAGGTTGAAATACTTTATCCAGTACATGACAGAAAGAAACTTGGGGAGTGGTTCAGATGAATGCATTCCATCATATGGAAGGGATATGAAACAGCTGATCATCTTTCATCCTCACTCAAGAAGCAGAGATAAATAAAGGAGTTTCAAAGAAACAAAGGGATGCTAAGAAGATATTTAGAATCAAAGTGAATAGAGCCTTCAACCTGTAACTGATGTAACCAGTTACAGAGATCTACAACCAAGCAACAGGCCAAGCTCTGGTAATCCAAATGAAGAGAAGGAGAAGGGGCTATATGAGCAAGGGATCATGACAGAGAAATACAAAGACAGCTGAACCAAGCTTGTGAAAGCTCAGGAACTCTAAACCAACAGCTCTGGAATGATGTGGGATGTCCTTCTGTACATGTGTTGCTTTTATCGGTTGATTAATAAAGCTGTTTCAGTCAATGGCTTAACAAAGTAAAGCCAGACATGAAATAAAGAGAGAGTAGGTGGAGTCAGGAGATGCCAAAGGAGGCAGGCTCCATGTAGCAGCTGAAGAAGCAAGAGATAACAAACCATGAACCTTGTGTCAAAATATAAATTAATAGAAGTGGGTTAAGATGTAAGAAGACTGAGCAAATAGGCCAAACAGTATGGTAATTAATATACTTTCTGTGTGATTGTTTGGGTCTGGGCAGCTGCGAAACAAATAAGCAATTTCTACTTAAAATGGTTAGTAAGGAGGCTGCTAGTTTGTCCCTGGCTGCTTAGCCCCAGAATAATCACACAGAAACTATTAATTAAATCACTGCTTGGCCCATTAACTCTAGCTTCTTATTGGGTAATTCTTACATATTAATTTAACCCATTTCTATTAATCTTTATATTCCCATGTGGTTGTAGTTTGCTAGCTAAAGTTCCCAGTGCCTGTCTCTGGCTGCTCCACGGCTTCTCCCTGACTCCACCCTTCTTTCTCCCAGCATTCAGCTTAGTTTTCCCTGCCTAGCTAAGTTCTACCCTGCTATAGCTCCAAAGCAGTTTCTTTATTCATTAATGGTAATCACAGTTTACAGAAGGAAATCCCACATCAGGTTTAGGCAAACAGACCAATGAACTGGTGAGAAATTGAACTAGGAGTTCCAAGAAATGAAACAACTACAGTGGGTTTGGTAAGATAACACATGTCCCTGATGATCTAGAAGGCTACTCAGCAAACAGTAAGGCCACATTTTCTAAACTTCCCCAAACAGTGCCACCAACTAGGGGCCAAGTGGTCAAACATCTGGGCCATAGTGGTCACATTCTCATTCAAACTACTGTAACAGGCTGTAGATTTCACTGCTTGATAGGAAGAGTGAGAATTCATACTGCAGGAGTAGAGAGTTAGCTCAGTTGCTAAGAGTTCCTTCTAGGATGTGTGAAGCCCTGGGATCAATCCCTAGCATTGCATAAACTAGACATGGTGAGATAGAGGTGGGGAAATCAGGTCAGGGTCGTCATCAGCTATATAGCAAGTTATGTGGCTGGGGTTACATGAGTCCGTGTCTCAAAAAACAAACAAAACTCTAGATAGGTAAGAAAATGAATGCATTCAGTTTTTTGACAAGTCTTATTATATTTTAATTTTATAATGTGAAAATAGACAAAACATGATACAGTACTACCATTGTATCTTACTGTTATGTATTATGTGTATCATTATGTATATTCCTAAGTACCATTCTTTCTGGTACCTTTGAGAACTCTTAAATATCTACCTTCCCCTTTAGAAAGTAGGGCATAGTAGTTGTTAGACTTGTTCTGCTTGTTTCACTGCTTTTAATTACAGATTTCTAGGCTGTTTAAAGACTGTTGAAGCCTGATGCTGGGGTTCAAAAATCCACCCTAAAAGGAATGATAACCTTTTAGAACAATTCCTTTGAGTTTCGTAAACTGTGGCTTAGCTAGTGTATATTTCTAGTTTCTGCTGACTTTTTACAAAAAGTCTAAATTAACTTGATACCAATCATTGATTAAATTACTTTACTCTCTTTGGTCAAGCCAACCCAAATTATTCGCAGACTTAATATGCTTACATGAATACATTGGTTGGGAAAAGGATAAGCCGTGTTAAGTAACTACCATGTTACAACCAGGTACTTTACCTACATTATTTAATTTTTGCTGCAATATAGGCAGGATAGAAGCTATCCCCATTGTATAGATTCGAGAATTAACTATCCTATTAAGCATCTACTTCTTAGCTACTAAATAAAAGGTAAGATATTTGAATGTAGCTTTTGAATAAATCCAAATATAGAAGGCAATGATTTTGGAACTAGATACATTAGACCCAATATTTGTAAGACTTAAGATATACTTATTAGCAGGTTATTTAGCATAGTGTCAGGGTTCTGATCAAGTGATTCTTCATGAAATACTTAATATATTTTAGATGTTTCAGGTAATTTGTATAAAATGGAAATCTGTCTTCAAAAATAAATATTTGTGTCTAAACAGTTGCTCAGCCAACTTAAAGGAAATTTAGAGGAAGAAAATCGTCACCTATTGGATCAGATCCAGACACTGATGCTGCAGAACAGAACGCTGCTGGAACAAAACATGGAGAGCAAGGATCTCTTTCATGTTGAACAACGACAGTACATGTAGGTACCAAAGAGTTTTGTTTTCGTGATGTTACTGCTGTGCCTACTGGCAGAGAAAAATCCATGCACATTTTTCTTGATGTTATTACATCATTATTTCAGTTTGTATTTTTTATTTAAAATTATCTTATTGCTTAGACAAATTTTTGGTACTATAGTGAACTGGACAACAGGCATTTCCATTTGGGAGTGAAGACTCACTGTCTTACAGTAATGAGTCGGTGAGTGAATTTGACACTCTATTGCTGACAGATGGAATTTAGCATCCTTATCCTTTCCATTCTTCTCAAGATGTTGAGAAATAGCACCTTCTTTCTCATATGAGTGGTAGAGTCTTTAGGTAGATCAGGAGATGGCGTTTTGGGCCTCAAATTCTCAAGATTCTACTACCAGTCCCAAATAGACTTGTGTAGCACCATGTTGAGTCTCTCAGGATCACAGTGATTTGTGAGGGAGTCAGATTGTAAATCTTGTCCTTTACATTACCAGATGTCAGTCTTCCGTCAGGTAAGAACCCTACCAGAGTAGGGCAGAGCTGACTGGGACAGGCCCTTCCCAGGGTGAGCATGAGACCATGCTGCTAATGCTGCCAGCCAAGAAATAACTTAGGGGAGATGTGCTGCCCTAATAGGATTTTTCAAGATTCTTATATTCTAAGCATTCTGCTAATAACCAGAATACTAACTAGAAAACATGTGGGACCTGCCGTAAGAGAATTATTGTAAACAAGACATATGCCTGTAGTATCAGCAGTTAACAGACTGCTTGACTTTACAAGTTCAAGACCAAGATGGACTGTAGAGAGGTCTCATATAAAGCAGGCATTGGTAGTCCTTGCCTGAAAGCAACCCAGCCCTCTTGTAATAGTCAAAAAGATCAGAAGGTCTAGGTCATCCTTGGCATATAGAGAATCAAGGTCAGCCTGGGCTACATCAGACCCTATCTCAAAAAATTAAAAAAAAAGACCCTCATCTAAAGTAAAACAAAAAACAAGAAATGCAGATATATTGTGTATACGTGTAATAATTCTGTAATGAGAGATGAATCTTAAGGGCTACAGAAATTTAGCAATTACTAAATTACTTGTGTCTGAGAGATGCAAAATGAACTTTTTTTTTTTTTACCAGGCTGGCCTTGAACTCACAGAGATCCACCTGCCTCTGCCTCCCAAGTGCTGAGATTAAAGGCGTGTGTAAAATTAAGCTACAGGTAAGCACCTTAAATTCAAGGCATTTCTAACTGAATGTCTCTATTCTGCGACTCTGGCAGGGCTGACAGCAAACAAGTATTCCTAAAGTTGGCAGCTTGTAATTATATTCATCAGATAAAATGAAAATAGTACTGGGAGCTGTGACCTTCTGTAGTGTAGCCATTAGCTTCTCAGCTATCAACTATCTCTACCATGTGGGTTCCAGGAATCCGAGTCTCAGAGTTATCAGGCTTGGCAGTCAAAGTAACAGTGAGCCATTGCACAGCCCTTTTTTCTTTCTCCAACCCTGTCCTCAATGTAACCCTGGCTGATCTAGAACTTATTATGTACATCATCTTGGCTTCAAAGTGTGGGCAGTTCTCCTAGAGTGATAGAATTATAGTCATGAATTGTCATACCCTGCTTAATGTAGCCTTCATCTTCATGAGGATTTTTCAGATGTTTAAGATAAGTGTTTATTATAGTTCCACAGTACTTTATTTGGTTATTATTATTGCCTTGTAATAGTCACACACACACACACACAATATGTTCTCTTTCCTACTGTATTACAAGCAAAACATTTTTAACTTTTCATCTTTATATAAACTTCATACCTTCCTCAGTGTAAAGCATCATTAAATAATTGTTGTGCAATTAGTATTTTTTGGCATTGAAAGCTTTTTTAAAGACCCTGCTCTGTGATCTTTAATGTTTCTGTATGTAATAAATACTTCTTAGTTAGGGTTTCTATTGCTGTAAGAGACACCATGATCACAGCAACTCTTATAAAGGAACATTTAATTGGGGTTAGCTTACAGTCCATTGTCATCATGCAAGGGGCATGCATGTAGACATGATGCTGGAGAACTTCTCCATCTTGATCTCAAGCAGCAGGAAGTGAATCGTCACGCTGGATGTAGCTTGAGCATATGTGTTACCCTCCTCCACGGTAACCCAGTTTCTCCAGCAAGGCTGCACGTACTCCAGCTGGGCCACACCTCTTAATAGCGCCACTTCCTATGGACCAAGCATTCAAACATACATCTATGGGGGTCATACCTATTTAAACGATCACAGTTAGCGAGAACATAAAATGAGACTAAGATGTGAAGAATAGAATAATACTCATCCACTGGGGGAAAGAGTGTCAGAAATAAATCTTTAAAGGTAAGTTAAGCATGAGTAATTCAGCCTAAAAGGAAAGAATATTTGCATGAAGAAGTGGTTTCAAAATTTATTATATCTATAATTGTTAGGAAAATAAATATCTAACAGGTTTTATTTATTTTTAAAAACATGCTTCATTATAAAAATGTTTGAGATGCTAAAAGGCTAGGGAAAAAACAAAGCTGTTGACAATTATATGATGAGATTATATTTAGAAAATTTCAAATAAATCCTCTTGTAAAATTGAAATTTCTAAGCACTACACACCTTTATTTAAATACATTTAAAGAAAGGAGAGCTATGGAAGAAACTCATGTTCCTTATTTAGGTCTCAGTTACTAATAATGGTCTGTGGTGTTTATGTTTTGGAAAGATCATGGTCGTGAGTCATCATATAAGATATTATGCATATTCTAAAATGTAATTTCCGTTTTTATAGTGATAAATTAAATGAATTGAGACGACAAAAAGAGAAATTAGAAGAGAAAATTATGGATCAATACAAATTTTATGACCCATCTCCTCCTAGAAGGTACCACTAATCAAATTTTATGGATCTTGTTTTTAAGAAAACCTTATCTGTAGTATTGTTGAGGCTTTTCATTTTATGAGGTTATTGTTGAACTTTAGACTAAGAATTCTTTTAATTCTATTAGGAGAGGCAACTGGATTACTCTAAAAATGAGAAAATTGATAAAGTCCAAGAAAGATATTAATCGGGAACGTCAGAAATCTCTAACATTAACACCTACCCGCTCAGACTCCAGTGAAGGATTTCTTCAGCTGCCTCATCAAGATAGTCAAGACAGCTCGTCAGTAGGGTCAAACTCTTTAGAAGATGGCCAAACTCTGGGGACCAAGAAGAGCAGCAGTGAGTGCTAAGTGTTTAAACAGAGTATTGATTTAAAATCTTGTCTAAAGATTTCTTTTAAAAAACAACTTCCAACAATCTTTTAGCTTGATGAATGATATTTCATTTTGACTTTGTTTCTAAAATTAATTGCAGACTACAGTAGTGCACAACTACCTGGTTTTCTGACATGTACATAGAGATAGATGTCATTATACTAGAAAAGTAAAATATATAAAAAGAACATTGAAATAACAGCTTGGCTATATTTGCTCCTAAAATGTGCTGTTAAATAGGCTTCACAGAGGAATTGTAAGGATAAGAAATAAGAATGAGATTTCATTTCATTAGTATTTATAACTTACACAAAATAAGGTGCTTTATAATACGATTTTTGCTCATATGCTTTGGGATATAAAATTGGAACACAGTTATTGTATTGGGGAAGTAAAGAAAAATAAATACTAATTTGAAGAGGTATTATAGAATTGTTTAAAGTTAAGGAATATTTGCTAAGGTTTGATTAAAATGAAATAAAGATAGGGAAATGTAAATGTATAAAGTTATAATTTAGTTTTTGTTAGACTTAAAGTCCCACATAATACTGATAAAATTTATAGACTTTTTAGTTCATTACTGCTGGTGTGTGTTTTAGCTAAATAGCAAAACCAAAGAAAGAGCCTGAAAAGTATATATTTTAAGAAAAAGAGAAAAAGAATTCAATACTCAAGTCTTGGAAAATGTCTACAAAGTTGATTGTATTCTCATAAAATACCTGAAAAGTATATACTTTGATCATCATCACCAGTGTCACTAAATTCATACATGTCACCAGGTGTGGTGATACGTACATACCTGTAATCTCAGTGAAAGCGAGAAGATTGGAGTTCAGAATCTTCTAGTGGTATATAGCAAGATAGCAAGTTCAAGGCCAGCCTGGCTACATGAAACCTTTTTTTTTTTTAAACACAGATTTTTCTGTGTAGCCCTCCTGCCCCTTGCCTCCTGAGTGCTGGAATTGAAGATATACACCACCACCATCAGGCTTAAAACAGTCTTTCTAACAGACTATATTATTCTTTTGAAATAAAAAGTAAACAAAGGCAGGTGCTGCTTCTCTCAGAAGTAGGCTATCCATGTGGATGGCTCTCAAAATGCTCAAAAAAAACAAAAGGTACAATGTTATGGCCTCATGAATTGTCTCCAAAAGGAGGTGGTATTTGGACGGTAACATATATTTCATAATACAGTTTTAGCAGCCTAGATAGTCAATCAGTGATAACAACAAAAAATACAGATGCATACATAGCTTACGTCTCTAGAAAGCAGTACAGTCCTATAGCTCCATGCAAGATGATTATTACCGGGGTCTTTTGCCATCTAGCCTTGTTCCCCTAATTGATAAGTACTGGTGTGGTGAGATCGTCAAGTTTTCCTTTTCACGTAGCTAACAAGTCAGCTTATTTGCTACCTTCAGACACAGAACTATCTGGCATCCTACTAAGAAAATGTAATATATGTCCTTAATTATTTTAAGTTACAGATGTATAATTTAGACATGAGCTCACACACACACCACATGCTGCAAAGGTCTTTTTTTTTTTTTAAATATTATCCTATCTGCCCAAAGTGTAAGTTATTCTTTCATACTACCTCCTGGACAACCATGATAAAAATCAGAAAGAAACAATATTCTCCTTTTCTTCAATTGTTCGATTTTAGATTTTGATTTTTCAATAAACATAAACTCAGTACTAATGTACCCTTGATATATGTATGCTTTGGGAAAAGAACATTATATGTCTCAAACATAATTGCCATGAGAAGAATCACATCCCTGGCAAATTTTAAATTTTTTTTATCCTGTCCATTTTGGAAGAATGTCTGTCTGTCATGTCAGTAAAGCAGTCTTTGAAAAACAGCTGAAAACAGAAAAAGGAAAAAAAAGAAAAGTATCACACATGACATGTGCATGCTGCACCCATTCAGCTTTGTTTCAGCTAAGTGTCCATTTTTACATTGCTTTTGGTTCATTCCTTTTTGATCATTAAGACCAGCTATGTTTACCAAGCATGAAAAGATATATGTCAAATTAAAAAGCTTAGATGAATCATGACTCTGCTCACAGCAGTCAGACAAGTTAAGAAGCTAGTTTAGTTTGCACCTCTTTCAATGAATACTTAGCAGTTTATAAAAAAAAATAGCTTTTAATATTTATTTGCTGATGACAACCTTCTGAGAAAGAACATAGTTATTAACGTTGTATATAATGCTTTCATAAACATAATTATTTTTATATTAAGCCCTACTGAGATGTAGCTTAGTGTTTGTTCTAATGATTCCTATACTTGAGCAATAGTCCTTTAATTCACAAAAATATTTTTGTGGAGTGCTTCCTTTTGTATTTTTTTTGCATAAATCTACCCTATGGGCCCTTCAAAATACATTTTAAATTTGTTGTTTATTATTATGTTATTTTATGTGCATGAATGTTTTGCCTGCCCTTATGTCTGATATCACATGCATGCCTGGTGCCTTCAAAAGCCAGAAGGGGGCATTGGATCCCCTGGAACTGGAATTGCAGACAGTTGTGAGTTACCATGTGGGTGCTTGGAATTGAACTCGGGTTTTCTGAAGAGCAGTCAGTGCTCTTAACTGCTGAGCCCTCTCTCTTTCAGCCCCCAAATACCTTTAAATGTTTCCTTCCCATTTTACTTCCCTTGGGGTTCCGTTTTTGTTTTTTGTTTTTTTTTTTCTTTTCAGAACTTAGTGCTAACACTTATTGCTGATGTCAGACTATTCTTTTTCCTCCTTCTCTCAATCAACTTTTTGTAAAATGAGCCTGATATACCTGCTGTTTTATCTTTAGGAAGACTTGTTGAAAGAGTGTATATCTCCACAGCGCTGCTAAACAGTGCACTGGATTCCAGTTGAAATCAGTGTTTTCTTTATTAAACTTTAGGAGACTAACAAAAAATAGGCTTTTTTAAAAAGCTCATTTTGCTTTAAATATCTAACCACCCTAATTTTGGTTGATATGTGTGTATTATCTGCATCTGTATAAGACATAGATACACACACACACACACACACACATATATATTACTAAAATTCTCTTTGTGGGATATGTGTGTTCCTAACTTTTTTAAAGAAAGCCTTTAAACTTAAAATTTTTAAATAAAATAGATGCTTGTGATTGTGAGCCTTATATGCTTCATACTTTATAAGCCACTGGTAGCTGGATTTTAAAAGTGTACTATTACAGTTTAACTAGGAAATTTGGTTTCTTCCTAAGTAATTCTAAGCAGTTCCTGTTTTTATAGGACTGTAGCCAGTGCTTTCAAAATACATGTTCCTCATGGTTGTCTTCAGTGCTTTCTAAGTGTTTACAGTATCAGAGTGCATGCTTCCTGTTTCACTATCCTCAGCAGTGTGAGGTATTAGCTGTAATGTAGCGTACATAGTGAGACCAACATTCATTCCTGTCCTTAATTTCAACATTTAACTCCCATCTGTTCTTCTCCCTTTTTTCTTTCATTTCCCTGTTTCTGTTTTTCCTCATGCTCTGACATTAAAGTGGTTGCACTGAAAAGACTGCCCTTTTTGAGGAACAGACCGAAGGATAAAGACAAAATGAAGGCCTGCTACCGTCGTTCCATGTGTAAGACTTTATGACAGTTCAGCTTCTTTCAAATGACCACACTGGCTTCCATCACTAATTTTTCACTAACCTTTCTCTGGACTGTACTAATTGCTTATTTTGCAAAGTGCAGTCTTCCTTTAATATGAGGAGCTGGAAGAATATTTTTTCAGAAAGGCATTGAATTTGCATTATATGTATATCCATACATATATATGCATATGTTTAGTAATACATGTAATATACTTGTAAATGTCCAGTGCATTCTTAAAACTGGCAAAAACAAGCAAACTTAATTTTATATGCCATACAGCTTTTTCCCCAAAGAAGTTTAAGGAAAAATATAACAAACCCTTCAGCATTAGGAATTTATTTTCTTAATGAACCTAATTAAATGAATGAATGAATGAATAAAGTGGCCTATAACCCTTGAAAATGTTTGTCATTCTTTATGTAATAATCATGGCTTTCTCTTTTTAAGTGAAATAGGTAATGACATAATCACATTAAATGTCTGTTACTTTGAGTATCTCTTTCAGGTTTTTATACATTGCTATATTTACTTGAGTTATAAAGATGAAGAATTTATTCAGTAACCTGCTCTGACCAAGGACTCTTTTTCATTTTCAATAATGTCACTGTAATACTGCTCTCCATCTTATTTCATTCCATTTTGCCACCACAAAACTACATTGTGAAGGCTTCTAATTCATAGCACAAAAGCATGGCAATTGTATATAGTAAAATTCCTTTCTGTCTTCTAAAGGCAGTGGGGTGGGGGTGGTAAGAGTCCAGGAATTTATCAGCCTTTGGCATCATTTCATTCAGTTGAATGCATGTCATTACTCAAATGGGCTTGTAGTTACAGTTTGGGGCCCATTTGCATTAATTCATAGACAAAACCAGATCATTTATAATACAAAATAGAAGTAAGAGCCAGTCCATTAACCATGCTGATTCATTTGCTCTCATTTGCATCCCAGCCATGAATGACCTGGTGCAGTCCATGGTCCTAGCAGGAGGACAGTGGACAGGTAGTACTGAAAATTTGGAGGTCCCTGATGATATTTCAACGGGTAAAAGGAGAAAAGAATTGGGAGCTATGGCCTTCTCTACTACAGCCATCAACTTTTCAACTGTCAACTCCTCTGCAGCCTTCCGATCCAAGCAGTTGGTTAATAATAAAGGTATAGGCCGTCTGCTATTTGCACTGTGCTGTGATACTGTTGGCAACGGAAATTCTAATATGACTTTCCTATGTACTTTTTTTTCCTCAAACAACCTGAAGTAACTATCAAGCCATGTTTAGATTTGATATGGGGAAAATGCCAAGTTGTTTCAAACTTTTAAAATAGTATGTAAATAATCAAAATCTTTCATAGGCCTCCTCTCATAATAAATAGCTAATGAGGTTACATGAAGAGAAGAAAACCAAATAAAAAGTGGAGAAGAGGAGGGAGTCGTATGTTTCTTCTTAAAACCCAAAAGCACTGCAACTTAAGAGAGCTACATAGAACCACCCAGGCTTTTGCTTTGCTTTGCTTTGCAGGGTTACAGAAGAAATTGTTTTATTGCTTCTAGTGTTTTCTTAACAAGTCAGTTCTTATCAGAGCTACTCTTTTCTTCTAGTTCCAGTTTCTACCTGAATCTGTGAATACATTAAATCAAGATGCACTTGTGTGACTGAAAAAGAATATCCACATTCTGTATAAATATTATAGCAAAATTGTTTTAGTACAAAATATATTTATATCCATTTTGCTATTTCATGTAGATACTACATCCTTTGAAGACGTAAGTCCACAGGGTATTAGTGATGATTCTAGTACGGGATCCAGAGTTCATGGTAAGCAACGAACTTAACTGAGATGGTATATGTTAAATACTGAATGGGAATGCTGAGATGCTTGTAGTGAGTCAGTGGATGTGGCATCACTTCTGTTTCTTCTGATCTAATATGCATTCTTCCCTCTTAAGATTACTGTTTCATGTGAATATTCTCTTTTAATCAAGGTCATTTACAAAGTATGCCTACATAATCTTCAGAAGTAATTTTGTTACCATTCTCAAATACAGTTAATTATAAGAGTTACATTTCATCACTGGGTTTTAAATACTTATTTTGATAAAAGATGTTAGATGTTTTAATTTCTATTTGGAAAGTCCTGTTACTAAATAAAATTATTACTAGTAACAAATAGATAACATGCTAAAAGAAACTTTATGAGTAAGCAGGTATGTAAGAAGTTACATGGAGCAGTGTTAACTGTATAGGTTCCCTTGTATAGATAAGAATATAAGATGTATGAGGCTAGAGAGATAGCTCAGCAGTTAAGAGTGCATACTGTGCCGGGCAGTAGTGGCACACACCTTTAATCACAGCACTTGGGAGGCAGAGACTGGTGGATCTTTGTGAGTTCAATACCACCCTGGTCTACAGAGTAAGTCCCAGGATAGGCTTCAAATAAACCCTGTGTCAAAAGAAAAAAAAAAAGGCATTCCTACTACTGTTGCAGAGGACTCACGTTAGTACCCATCATCCACAGGGAGCAGTTCACAAACTGCCTCTAAATTCAGGGGAACTGACTCCCTCTTCTGGCCTTTACAGACACTGCATTCACATGCATAAGTCCATACTATATTCTATAAAGAATATAGGTTATTATATGTTATTATATGTTATGTTATTATATGTTATTAGAGCCAACAGAAGGCTCACACAACTACTTGAGTTCAACCCACAGAATCCATTTAATGGTGGATGGAAAGAAAATTCCAGATTTTCCCTCTGACCTACCTCCATGTGCACAGGCACTTGTGCATGTAAATGATAATAATTATAAATTAAAACTTTTCTTAAATATGTAGGATGTTGGGGGCTAGGAAGATGGCTCAGTAGTTCATTTGCTACTCTTGCAAAGGAACTGGATTCAGTTCCTAGCACCCACATGGTGGCTTACAACCATCTGCAACACCAGTTCCGGAGGATCTGATGCCCTTCTCTCACTTTTGAGGGCATCAGGCACAAATATGGTACATATACATTCATACATTCAGGAAAAACTCATACACATAAAATTAAAACAAAATAATGTGGGGCGTGTGTGTGTTGCTAACAGAGTAGATGGTCACATTCCTCCACTTCATGGCATCTCTGAAGCATGGAGGTCCCTTACCTCTTCTGTTGTAAGTTACCAAATCTGTAGCATTTGGCAGACATGAGGGGAACATGGAATTTTATTAAATTGAAAAAGTTGTGGTATCCATCTCTAGAAATCATTGTCAAATATAAATGTGATCTTTTTCCTCCTTTCTTTATCCCTCCCTCTCCGTCTTTTAATTGCAGCTGTTTTTCCCGAAGTGCCGTGTTTCAAAGCATCTTAGTGAACTACTTAAAGATGTCTTTTCTTTCTAATCTGTATGATTCACCATTCTGTGAGCATGCCCAGGCTGAGACAGTATGCATGATCATTTTCTCAAAGCCTTCTGTGGCCAGCATGTAAAATTCAGTGCTATCAGATGGATGTTTCATTATACTGTCTCCTGATTTTTTCATTTAGCTTCAAGACCAGCCAGCCTTGATAGTGGCAGAACTTCCACTAGCAATAGCAATAATAATGCTTCACTCCATGAAGTCAAAGGTATGCTGTAGGTAAATTAACTCATGTGCTCCCTCTGGTTTCCAGTATTGTTTACAAGTAGGACAGTTCAGTGGTAGAGCACCTTGTGCTTAGTATGCCCAAGGCCCGTCTGAGTTTAGCTCTAGAACAAGAGTGGAAAAGTTGGAAATGGGATGAAATTTCTGATGAAAAGTGAAAAATCCAAATTATCTATGTTTGAAACATAGTTCTCTGGAATGCTTGCACTTTTACATTGTGATACAGATGTATTTCAATGTAGAAAATGTAAAATCAGGAGCATTTATTTTGGTTTCAGTTCTTCATTTTCACAGATAAAATAGTCTTCACTGTAATCTTTGTTTCAGAATTATCCGTAGGCCCGTATTTTCAGTGACTTTTGTGCTTGACATCTAAATGGGTGTCCTTCAGTTTCTTCATGGTGCATGTGCATTAAACTTGCCTTGTTTGTATTTTAGAAATATTGTTAGCTTACTTTGTCAACAGAATACATACCTCTTTTTTATTTTTTGTGTGTATATGTGTATGTCACAAAGGAATTATATGGATGCACATATGGCTCATATAAAGAATTATTTCAATATTCTTTTATTTTGTCTTTTAATGTGTATTCCAAGGTGAGGGTTCTAATAGCTGGAACCCTTAACTAGTACCTTTTTCTTTAAAATATATTATTGCCTTTACAGACTCTTGTGCTTGTTAAACACTTCCATAGCTATTCTCTATGCTCTAGAATTGTACAACTACAATGAATGCATTTGTTTTTGATTATAACATTATTTGTCTTAGTCATTATTATAATTAATTTTGTGACTTATTACAGTGATCAGAAACATGATTTTGAGGGGAATTAATTTTTCTTTTTATAAATCATATCTGACAATATAGTCTGAAACTATGAAAAATCCCTTCTGAGTTGAAAATATAAGAAAATCTTAGTTCTAAAAATAATATAATTTTAGAAAATTCTTCCATGACTGCCTTACTCTTTATGATGGAATAATTTTCTATCATGATGTACTGTACAGTTTATTACTGATAATCTGTCCTATAAAGGAATAATGCATATGCTTACAAACTTTATTCTAGAACGAATGTCCCTGCTGTATGATTTAACCTCAAGTAAACTTTTAAGGTTATGTGGTAGCAGTACTAACAGTGAACATCAGAACCAATCAGATATTCCAGATATTGAAGAAAGACTAAGCCACACATGGTGACATACCTGTAATCCCAGCATTTGGGATGGTGAAACAGGAGAATTGCAAGTTCTAGGCCAGCTTGGCGTACATACCACGTTCCAAACAAGTGTAGGCTATCCAGTGAGATGCTTTCTGAAATACTTTGTTTTCTTTTTTATGGGACCTGTCTATTTTATGTTTGACTTCCCTTTGTGTATGCTGTTTAAATTTTTTTTAGACATTTTAGAATTTTTCCTTTAATATGAAATCTTCGAATAAGCAATTGAATCAAGACTTCATAAAGATAGAATTAAAATACTTTTTGCATTTAAATGTTTTGGGCTTTAACATTCTGAAATAATTTGAAATACCTTCTTTTTGTAAACTGTGAGATATTTTATAGTTATTAGAACCTAAATCATTAATGTTTATTACTCTATTCATTTAGTCTTCAGTATATTGAATGATTGTTTAACGTGAAACTTTCTTTTGGCTTTGACTTTGGTGATAAAAGTATATTTTGCCCTTATAGAACTTAGAATATTTGTCAGTTTAATAAAACCAGAAAAGCAGCTGTGGCATGCAGTTCTTAGACTGAGACAAGTAAAATAGCTTTCCTAAGCATGTCTAAGTGAAGTTTAGAGTCAGTATGGCTACTTACAGAATAAGAGCTCTGCTAACAAATTTTACATAATATTATTATCTCATTTATATTATTCAAGTCTCAACATAGCATTTACTCCGAAAGCAGGTGCAGTTAATAACCAAAGCAGGCCACAAAGCCACAGCAGTGGAGAATTTAGTCTGCTTCATGATCATGAGGCTTGGTCCAGCAGTGGTAGCAGTCCAATCCAGTATCTGAGAAGACAGACCAGGTCAAGCCCTATGCTCCAGCACAAAATGTCTGAAACAGTAGAAAGTCGAGCACATCACAAGATTAAAGCTGGTTCTCCTGGAAGTGAGGTTGTTACCCTACAACAGTTCTTGGAAGAAAGCAACAAGCTTACCTCAATACAGGTTAGTTCAACAAATGGTGACCTTGGTTTAACACTAGTTAAATGTCTTGTGGATGAGCCTTAGAATTTTTTTTTAATTATGGAGCACTAAGAGATAACAGCACCTCAATAGTGTATAGTTCAGTTTATCAGGAGACTCCATATATGGTAATCTGTATTGTTTTTTCTTCCAACAGTTGAAGTCCTCAAGTCAAGAGAATCTTTTAGATGAAGTAATGAAAAGTTTGTCTGTCTCTTCTGACTTTCTGGGAAAAGACAAACCAGTTAGCTGTGCCCTGGCCAGGTCAGTAAGTGGAAAACCTCCAGGGGACCTCTATGATAGACGGACAACTAAACCTGAATTGTTGAGACCGGGTCCTCGAAAAACTGAAGATGCCTCCTCCATTAGTTCTGCAGGGAAACCTACACCAAGCACTCAAGGAAAAATAAAACTAGTAAAAGAAACCTGTGTGTCAAGACAATCAAAAGATAGCAATCCTTATGCCACTTTACCTCGTGCAAGCAGTGTGATCTCTACTGCTGAAGGAACAACACGAAGGACCAGCATCCATGATTTTTTGACCAAGGACAGTAGACTGCCCGTGTCAGTTGATTCAGCACCACCTACTGCTGATAGCAGCATCACTGCAGCATCTAGTGAGTACCATTTACAGCAGTGGTCTTCGGATGTGCTGACACATGCTGGAGGGCGTCAGCTCCCAGGTGATTTAGCTGCAGACACATCTGAGTCTCTTTATACCCAGACTAGAAAACCAAAACCAGGAAGGCCACATTTTCTAAGACAAACTTTTGCCACTGTCAAAATGTCTGATGATGCATTTGGAATATCAGCTAACAGTAGTCATGGGCCATTTACTGTGGTTCATTCATCTCAGCCATTTCTATCCCTGAACACAGAGTTGGTTAGTAACATAAGTGGGTTACCTCCAAAGTCACTCACTAGAGTAACTGACCAGGTCTCTGCCTCTTGGGATAAAGCTGCACAGAAACATAATGAACAGTTCTGTGATAGTCAGAACCCTAGTAACAGTAACCCACAGTCCTCTGTAGATAGCAACAGTCTTCTCACTCCTGCCTGCCTCTACCCTGATGACTCCGAAGCTGCATTATCAGTTTCAGAGGATAGTCAGACTGTTTGGTATGAATATGGTTGTGTTTGATCAAAATATGTTGATGTTATTTGCTAGGTTAATATTTTTAAGATTGTTACATAGAGTTCAGCTGTATAAAAAGGCATGTATATAAACATGTGTAACCACACCAAAGTCTGCATGAAATAGTAATTACATTGTACATTTTTGCACGCCTTTAAAAATCCAACCATACATGTTTTTCTTTCACATCTTTTGTCACTTGATAAAGATATTCTTTGATATCATGAAGCATGTTAAAATAGTTGCATGTTCTGTTACCAAGAAAGCGTATCCAAGTCGTTTTTTGGCTGCTTCTAAAAAGAGTGTTCATTTGCTCTTCCTGCCTCCTCTGTCTCACTCTTCTTTATTTCCTGAGTGTGCACTTCATGTTGCATATGTACAGTATTAATAATGGAAATGGTTTTGAAAATGTCATTTTCTTTTGTCACTTAATCATGTTATCTGTCCTGTTCTCTTTTCAAAGAAATAATTCAACTTTATTTGGACTAATTCTCATATTCATAAAACATTGTTCAAGTTTAAAATATTGTTTAATCATAAATGTGTTATTCTTAAATTTTTCCATCAAACTTAAATGTGATTTGCACAGTGACTAGGAACATTTGTGTTATATTCACCTTCTTGGTGCCGATCTTTTCCTGCTAAACACAATAGTTCAAGACCACTATTTTTTTTTTTGGAATCCCTTAATAAATTTTTTCCAGTTTTTTTACATATGAATCAAAGAGAAATAAACCTAGTTATTCATTATCTTGGGACTTGTATTTTTACTTCTATTCAGAAGCATAGCAAGTTTTTTTAAATGATGAAAAATTTAACTTGTCATTTACTACTAAATTAAATGTGTACATCTACAATGCAGACTCTTTAAAAGTTAATACATTGTGTTAGAGTATAAAATTAGGACTTGGGAGAGTAAAAATAAAAAAGTATATAGTCTTTATTCTAAAATTTGTTGTATTAAAAACATAGTCTGAGCCAGGTGGAATGTTCCTTGAATCCCAGCATTCGGGGAAGGCAGAGACAGGTGAATCTCTGTGAGTTCAAGGCCAGCCTGATCTACAGAACAAGTTCTAGTAGAGGCTCCAATTCTTTTTTTTTTTTTTAATTTTATTAAGTATACAGTGTTCTGCCTGCATGCATGCCTGCAGGCCAGAAGAGGGCACCAGATCTGATTACAAATGATTGTGGGCTACCATGTGGTTGCTGGAAATTGAACTCAGGACCTTTGGAAGAGCAGGCAGTGCTCTTAACCACTGAGCCATCTTTCCAGAAGGCTCCAAATCTATAGAGAAACCCTGTCTCAAAAAAAAAAAAACTTTAAAAAAGGAAAAAATATAGTCTGGAGCTAGAGAGATGGTTCAGTGATTAAGAGCACTGATTGCCCTTCCAGAGGACCTGAGTTCAATTTTCATCACCCACATGGCAGCTTACAACTAACTGTCTGTAACTCCAGTTCCAGAGAATCTGACACCCTCACACAGTCATACATACAGACAAAACAACAATGCACACAAAATAATAAGTAAATTTTTAGAAATTTTTAAAAAAAAAAAACAAACAGTGTTGCCTGATGTAGTAGTATATGGCTTTAATCCAGCACACCCAGCACTGTGGGAGGCAGAGGTTGGTGATCTCTGAATTCCAGGCCATCCAGGGAGGAACCTTGTCGCAAACACTCCAACCAAAAGCAGAAAAGCAAGTCTTTAGCTCTCCATCCCCCAAAACAAAACTCATACAAGATGGAGATACTATTGATAAACATGGACTCCAGTTTCATATCATTTTGTCTTTCTGTGTTCATGTCACTCTGAAGCAAATCAGCTTCAGTCTCTCCAAGTATTTAAAAATTCATAATCCTGACTGACTTATTTCTACAGTATATATAGCTGTCTCAGGAGTGTTTTTCCAATTTTGATTCAGCTTAAATGTTACTGGTAATAACTCAGCCTAGGTGGGTGCCATAGGCACTCTATGAGTGAAGGAGAGTACTGTACACTCACTGTATTGCACTGTTACTATTAATACTGGATGGAAGGGAACATCTTCAACAAGTCCTCGTTTAATTAAATTTGTATTGTTTGTAAAAAGGTTCTCCTCTTGTATGTACACAGGGTCACTGGGTGGGTAGACCCTTCTGTTTATATCGCTGCCCCTGCTTTTCTTTTCTTACAGCTACTATTAAAACAGTGCTGGCACAGGGACCAGACAAGCACATGCGCAGTTGTATATAGTTCAGTGCCACCTAAGACAGTTTCTGCGTGAATAGAGCATTGCTTTGTACTATCAGTTTTTGTTCAGTCAGTATTAATAGTTCACATATTTTTGTGCTATTATTTTTACTTTTTTCATAGCCTACTAACAAAATTCAATGGTAAACAGCTGATATTAATGGGGACTATATGACAGAAATGCTTTACTTAGTTTTTGATATCATAAAACTGGCCTTTGCACTTTTTACATTTAAATTGTTGCTAATTTTGTTAATTAAAACACATTTAAATTATGTATTTTATTAAAAGCTATATGGGTTGTTTTATAAAAGTAAACTTAAGTACTTTCTCCCTATTTCTGTAAGGATATATCCAGCATGCCTGTAAGACATGTCCATGTTTCCTGAGGGTGGCCTAAGATCACAGTGTAGACTTCCTCCAGAAAACATCACATGCTATGGAGCCAAGGTTTCGTCAAACACTATTCATGTGTCATGTCTTCAGTGGTGGGGGACATAGAGTTCGTAGTAATCATATAGGAAAAATGTTTCCCAAGAGATGATTATGTCAGCATTAAGGAAGCACCTGTGATCAAGCCACCTGCATTTACTTCCCCTGAAATAACTCCATGTCTTGTAACTCACAAAGATGTTTAGAAGATTCAGTACCCTGATTTCATAAATAATAAAACTGATAGCTTTTATAATTCCTGGCCTGGCCTTTTGTAAATTATATCCTTATGACTAGTGTGATCCTGAGCAGCTTTGGGTATAGGTATACCTCAGCCCTGGTGTTCACAGTAAATAGTACCACAGTGTAGATGTTTCTACTATTGTACTGCGAGACTTTCTAACATAAAATGATGTGATGACCATTACCATATTACTATAGTATAAGAATATGGTAAGTATGCAAGCCTCTGAAACCAAGATGGAGAAAAGGTAACTCTTAAATTTATAAAAAATAGTTACCATGTTCATAGCTGTGTTGCTTACAGCTTTAAAATATTTTTTAAAAAGGCTTCATATAAATAGATATCTGTCAGATTAATAATTTTCTGAGGTTCAAATTCCTCTATGTCCTGCTCATTGAGCACTTTTATCTTCATGAATTGTGTTATATTTACCCTTTGACTAAATAACATGAGCTACTTTTCTCCCACAGATGTGAACAAAGTACAAGAAAGCAGAAATTCAAAAAGCAGGTCTAGGGAGCAACAGAGCTCCTAATTCAGTGACCCACTGCATGACGTGGGCCAAGTGGTGAGTTTCCTGCTTGACTCATAATTGAAATTGGTCTTATTTCTACAGACTAACAGAATTACATATGATAACAGTGCATACTGCATTAACAGATTCAATTTTGCTTGCTGAATCCATTGACTCTCTCTCCTGCTTACTTAGTAAAGACTGCCATAGGTCTTTGCCTGCCTGTGTGGGTGGCAAACCTAAGTATTTTCTCTCAATTTATATTTAATTTTAGTTGTGAATAATGTGAAGTCTGTCTTCTATGCGTTACAACTTCTGAATAATGGGTAAGCATGGACTAAATACCTATCTTACACAGAACAGCTTAGATGTTGCCTTTGGTTTTCTGTCATTCTCATTTCCATATAAATAGCTGGTGCATGCTGTTGTTACACTAGCTTCGCTGAGTTTATATCCCTCTTATCTTCAAGCTGTTCTTATATTTTCTTTCTTCTTTCTGTCTTTCAACAAAATACAGAGAGAAAAGTGTCCTTCAGTTTCTCAGTATGAAGACTTTATTTCTGAAGTAACAAGACACCTTGCAACTATAGGAACTATTAAAAAAAACATAAGGCGATTTTAACACATCCCTTCGTGAATAGAGCAGGCAAGAATACAAACTTCATTCCTTCCTTGAATCAAGGAGCACTACTGGATCCAACTGCCAGAAGTTTTAGAAGGCTTTAGATACTAAACTGTACAGTGCTTTAAGCTCTACTGAATAAAGGACATTCTCTCACTAAGGATGAGTGTTTTAAGGTCAAGTATTCTGAGAACAGCCTACTTCTTTCAACATTTATTAATTTATCCATGTTTGCTTACTGCTTCTGCTAAGTATTACCCAAAAGCTAGCCATTTCTATTTAGTTGTGTAAATCTGAATGAAGTGCTGTAGTATTTTGTGGGAATGTACTATATACAAGACACAGAGAGAACTGTTCTGGCATGTCAGGGTTTTTTTGGTTAGCAGACTGCATGTGTTGGTACGCTGGTTACTGGTTTTGTTTTTATAGCCAATTGTTTGGGTGCACTGCAAAGAAAATTCAGTTCATAAGATATGCAGAAAATTCCATAATGACATATTAGAGTTATAAAAACTGTATGATATTAATCTTACAACTTTCTCTGCTAAGCTGCACTAGGCATTCATAAATGGATCCAAAATAAAATAATTTTTCTGAAACTTTTTTTAGTGAGATGGTTTTCCAGAAAATAGTATTCCCAAGATAAAGCAATTGTGTTTTAACTCATTTCCCATCTTTGCTATTGGGTTATGTATGTGTTTTTTTAAACGTGAGAGCTGATTATTGCTTAACAAGTTTTCTTATGGTAAAATAATGTAAATCATTTCTATGATCTACATTTTTTCAGGAACTCATTTACTATTAAGGTTGTCGTTTATTACTAAGAATTTTTCTGTTTTTGTCCTTTATATTATATTAAACTTGATAACTATTATAGGTAACTTTGAAATATTTGTATGTGTTTGTTACCTTAAACATTTGGGGAAAAAAAGCACAAAAATGTAGATTTAGTTAACCCAGAGAAACACGAATTTTTTTAGTAGTAGCAATTTTATATCACAGTTTTATTTTCTTATGAAGTTCAAAAAACACATTGCTACTCATTAAGACAAGTTCATTATTTAACGTAAAAACCAGAATAATCTTTTGAAATAAAAAAAAATACTATTTTTATTTTAACAGTATACTTCTTAAGCTCTTACTACCAGCTCTAAAGAACTTTTTGGAATAATTACATATTCCATAACGTGGTTTTATGGTGTGTCATCACTAACCCAGTAGCCATGACAAAGGTCTCTTTTCTTTGCTCCCCATCTTTGTCTCTCTCCCCCTCCCCCACTCTCTGTAATAGGCCACCTTTGGAAAGACCATCAATAAAAAAAGACATAAAATGCTTAGTTGACCAGAAATTGAAAGTTAGAGAACTTGGATTTATTTAATTCAGTGTTGCCATAATGTAGGCTTTTCCAGAAAATAATGCTATAAAACGAAATCACTTTGAAACTCTTGAATGAAAGGTGCTATATATATGTAAATACAAAGGATTCTTACTGAAACCCAAATGCTGCACAACAGAAATACTGAAAATCTATTCTCTAGACTTGGAAATCTCACTGCATCATGAGTCCTTGAGTTCAAGTATCAAATTGGGAAATGGGTACATGGCAGTCTAGAGACATTTGCATGTAAAATATGTAAATTCACTTGATCGAGAAGTTGAGAGTAAGTATAGAATTATGTTTTAGCTAAAAATAGTAAGTGGGTAAGTTAGATTTATATTACTAGCATCCAATTTGCACAATTAGCACACATCCCAGGACAATTCATGAGTGTGAGGTGACCTAATGAGGGTGAGTGATAATGCAGTTTGACCTCGTTATACTAATACCCTAAAGCAGAGCCTGCTGGTTAACCAGCACGACCACTTGAGCTGAAAGCGTCTGTGGTGCATTAAAGTGGAGTAGGCCGACCCTGAGAAGAAGAGAAAACCAAGTGAATACAATGAAACTATTAAAATGTTCATTATTCATTACCGTCCTCATACTGTTTCAAGAAAGGACTAAACAATAACCACAAGAAGTTTTTTTCTAGAAAATCTAGTTCAGAAACAGACTTCGTAGGAAGCTAAGCCAAATAGAAATGAACCAGAACTGATTTTCTAAACAGGCTTAAACCTGCCTTTAGTTGTCTGGTTCTTTCTATTCCTTAACCAACCCCTAAACCTCTAAGAACACTTTAAAAAAGGCAGAATACCAGCACCAGCCCAGAACTCTAATAATATGCCTCCTGGCTGGCCATGGCAATGTTTTGACCCAAGTTTTTTGAGTTGGTGGTTACCAAAGAGTTCACAAGACAGGTTCATGTGCAGCACCTTTCATGCAAGGCATGTCAAAAGCCTATTTAAAAATCACTGTGTATTATAGAATTGTAGCCACCTCACAAATGGAGCACTACAGCCTGTACTGTCTTTAACAGTTCATGTCAGGAAGTGAAATCAATACTGTACCAAACCTGGAATTATAATGGGAATTATGTATTCTAAATTACTTTTGTACTTTAAGTTACTCTTTATGAGAAAAAATTGTTTTCTTTACAGCTATTTGTCCTGAGATGTATGTTTTTCTTTCAGTCTTGAATATGAATACCACAAAAAGAGCCCATTTTATAATATAAACCTTGATGTACACGTTAAGCTATTTGGACAATGAAAATGCCTTAAAAGGAATGCTTAATAGATAATGTTGCACTTGTAACATCCTTCGACAAAACCTGATTTTAAATTGTCCTTTTCATTTCTACTAGTTTTTTTCTGTGTTTGCCATTGTACTCACAACTGTTATTAAGTACCAAATCAAATAAAAAGCTGTAACATTTTCTTAAAAATTAATGCTAAAAGGGAGGTAGAGTTGAATGGCAAAATGGTTTTACTTGGTGGTGCCTAATATCAGCCCCAGGATTCCATGCATGGCAAGATACCATTGTTTGAATTGTCTTTCACAGTCACTTTCCCCCCTCCTTTGATTCTCCTTACAGATATATATGCTGGATTAACTGATATAAAAAAATAAAAAGGTGAATTTTTTAAACAAATTGTTATAATCATTTTAAAATTGCATATTAGTCACGTGTTAGTTTTTGCCCTGGAGAACTTTTTATTCTTTATGTATTTTACCCTAATCATTTTTGGTTATTAAGAGGCTTGAGGAGAAAGTCAAATTTTGTCAATCCTAAAATATGTTTAAATGCAATCTATAGTCATTTCCCTTATCCATGAAGGGTATGCTCTAACACTCCCAATGAATGCCTGAATCGGCTGGTCTTTTTGTTTTCTTTTTCCCATACATTAACACTGAGAGCTTACATCATAAATTAGGCACAGTAAGGGGAACAGTAGTCACTAATAATAAAACAAAGGTATAACAATACTGTTTGGGATTTTTGTTTAGTTTTCTCAGGGTTGATTTTGTTTTTGTGTTGCGGGGTAAGGGGTACTGCTGGAGATAGGCTGGCAGTCTACCACTAATCTGTAGGCCAGCTCCTTTCTCAGAACTTGTTATTGTGCTGTCTGCACTCTCCTTGTGTGTGACATAAAATAACTAGGTGGGGAGACGATGTGATATAGGAAATATATTGTTGAACTAGTAGGTAAGGGTTGTTTGAACACCAGCACTGTGAGAACAGGTAGTGTTTATGGCATGGATATGCTAGGCAAAGCCATGGTTCAATGATGACTTCTCCTGCCACTCAAAATGGCATGCAATTTAAAACTTACTGTTTAATTTTGGAATTTTCCATTTAATTTTGGATCACTTAACTACAGGTTACTAAAATGTCAGGAAGTAAAACTGCCAAGAATGTGACAAGCTGCAAAACTAATCTCTTTGTAGGGGCAGGAGTGATGGTTCTGTGAGTAAGAGCACTGGCTGCTTGCTCTCGCAGAGGAGCCAGGTTCAATTTCCACGTGGCAGCTCACAACGGTCTGTACCTCCAGCTCCAGGAAATCCCAATGCTCTCTCTTGGCCTCCACAGGCAATGTACACAGGTGGTGCACAGACATTCATGCAGATAAAACACATAAGATAAAAATAAACCTTAAAAAATAATTTTAATGTTTTATTTTTACTTACACACCTGAGGCAGCCAGCTGAGTCTTGCCACATCATTCTTCCAAAGCCTGTTTTCACTACCAACAAGGCATCCAAGGTCTACAAATTCTGGTCCTGATCCTTTATTTTATGTACCTAAAACTGCCTCTTTTTCTTAGAGATAGAATACGGAGCAGATAAAACAAACAAGCATGGAACCTCTAAAACAAGGCAATCATCACTTTTATTTTGCCTTTCTGAAACACAAGCTGGTATGAATTACAGAACCTCTACTAGATAG